GTAGTCGCGCGTTTTGGGAACCAGGTAAGCATGGGGGCCGGGGGGGAACTCGAGGGGGGTGGGGAGGCCAGGCGCTGAGTGTGTGTAGGGTTGCCAGGTGCCCGGCATTTTCGCCTCTGGCCAGGGAAATATTCAGAAAATACCGGATATCTTAGGTGTCCGGTATTCTCTGAATTTTTTTTAACTGGACAAGAGGTGAAAATTCCGGACTGTCCGGGTGAATACTGGACACCTGGCAACCCTATCCTGGAGTGAGCTCCTCTGTTCCAGCTGGCTGGAGAACGCTAGCCCTGCCCCCTCCCTCCCAGCCTTGCGTACGTCATCCTTTTCCAGCATACGCAGGATCTGCTTGGTCTCCTCGTCCGTTTCCCTCTTCTCTTTCTTTATGTTGATGATGTGGGAAGGGCCGAAGTCGGTCATGTCCACAGTCTTGTCCCAGGTGCCTGGGTGGAAGAGGACAGCGCGGGGTGAAGGTTTGGAACAGGGATCACCCCTTTGCTGAGCGCCGGACGTCAACCCCCCCTTCTCTTGGAGTGGCTCTGGATTCAGAGGCCAGCAGACGGAGGTCCCCTCCTTCAACTCTAGAACATGCTTCTCACCTGCCAATGTGCCTCCAGCCTGGCCTAGGGGAATGGCACCTCTGGTGGGGCGGGGGAGCTCAGGGCTGGGTTTCTCCGCAAGGTGTTCTCTCAAGCCACTACACGAGTTAGCGCCGTTTGCGCGAGCGCAGTCCAGGTGCAAAACACACACGTCTTGCCGAGTGACTGGCTCAGCAGCTGACGAGTTAGAATTTCGGCTGCCGCATCCCCGTGGCATTAGGAGCTCGAACTTGATCATCAACCCCTCCGCCCCACACAGCTCAGCTCGCTAGGCTTGAAAGCGCCACTTTGACTGAGCCAGCATCTAGGCAGCACCAGCGTCCGTCAACCCGGGGGCATCGCCGTTCAGCCCAAAGGGCTTTTGCAGTCCAAGATACATATAAGCGGGACCCGGGGATCCTTCTCACCACCACCCAAATGCAGCCATCTCTATCCCTGGCCTTAGCTGTGAGTTATCTCCACGGAGGAGAAGCAAAGCAGGAGAGAGACTCTGGGAAAGTGGCTTCTGCAACACCCTCCCGCCCACAAGGGATGTCCCAACCCCTGCTAATGGTACCTTTCTTCTTCATCATTTCTGCTGGGCCTTGCTCAAAGATGGAGTGGGACTGAATGACCTCCGGCCTCCCTCTGCCTCGCCCGTGGCCATCTCGCTGCCGATCCCGATCTCTCTCTTTCTTCTCTTTCTTGATGGAGACAGCCTCTTTCGGCCTGAAGGAAAAGAGCAGAGGGCGTATGGTTTGAAATGCTCCTGCTAAACCCTAGCACGCTTGACGCAACCCTCGCGCACATCTTCTAACAATAACATACACGCAGAAGATGCCAGAATATTTTACAAACTGTCTAGCACGACTGCTGCCATGCGGCCAGCTCTGGGGTGGAACCTGCAGGCTGTTTAATCGTGCACGGCCACCAATACACATTAGTTTTAGATCATCACATTCCACTCCACTGAGATACGGCGTAAGCCGGCCACTTACTCCTCTTTGATCTTCCTGCTAATTATGTTGGGGGTGAACGTTTTCTGCAAAACAAAACAAAAACCAGATTGAGATGCTTGTTCAGAAAGTGCAAATATAAGCCACAGAAACTAAACAGGGGCTATCGGGTGGCCCCACCATCTGCTGCTGAGCTTAGTAACATTGTGTTAGATCCTAAGAGGGGCAAGTTTTGGACCCTGGATGTAACTCCTGCCTTCGGGAGGTGCTCTGCATCAGTTTTACCATGGTTCTGCCCATGGGTGTGGCTGTTTACAAGCCGTCTTACGCACCGGCACCCGACTGTCCACCTAGGCCCGGATTAGTCCAGTATCTGTGCATGAAAGATGCTTTACAAACAAGAGCTAGGAAGCCTGGCACAGAACCAATCCGACTGTATTACAAACTGAGGCAATGTAGCATGTCCTGTTACCTCTACAGAAGGTAGAAGCTCCAACTACACATATTGCCCATGAGGCACTGGGACAGGTTAGGGGGCAGCCTTTAAAAGAAGAGGCCACAGAGGAGATGGCAACACCCAGAGATTGGCAAGATCACGCCTAGGCTGAGAATGCCTGAATAATGCTGTTGATTGAAGGCAGGGTGGGGAACATTTTTTGGGTCAGGGGCCACTGACCCACAGAAAAATCAGTTGGGGGGCCACACAAAAGAAGCCCCTCCCCCAAAAAAGAGGACCCCACCCCTCTGATGTGGTCCCTGACTGACCAGAAAGACACACTCGCATGCCCAGGGGGCTGGGGTTAGACTATTTTGTGGCCCCTGTAGGATCTGGGGTAGAGCCAAGAATGAGATGCCTTATGGGCTGGATCCAGGCAAGCTAGGGGCCGCATCCGGTCCCCAGAGCTTAGGTTCCCCACCCCTAATCTAAGACTTGTTTTCTGACTTCTCTTCAGACATTAATTGATTGACCCTCACACCCAGCCCTATAAGGCAAGTAGACAAGTGTTCCCCCACTTTCCAAATGGGAAAAGGAAACAGAAAGTGCCAAGGCCTCAGAACGAGTTAGTGTCAGAGAAGCGTTCTGATCGCTCCAACAACTATTCTGCACAGGAATTGGCATATCAGATCACAGCAAGAGTCAACATAGCGTCGTCTCCTCCTTATCTGCACAGGAAGGCGTGAGCCATTCCAAAACGGACAACTTACTTTTTAACCCAAGCAGTTTGTGTTTAGCGTACGCCCCTTCCTCCAGGCAGCAAGGTACAAAGCACAAGTGGACACTGAAACTATTGTAATTAAAAAAAATTGGGTCTTGCCCCTTCCTCCAGGCAGCAAGATACAAAGCACAAGTGGACACAAACTATTGTAATTAAAAAAAATTGGGTCTCTAAGCTCTTGCGTGTCAGTAGGAGGCAGCTTTTGTTAGACTCTGAAAAGGAGCCAAGAACAATTAGCAGCATCCTTCAGAGAAGCGTCTGCGCAACAGGATTTAAGCAGGTCTGTTGAGGGGGGCAAACCCTTTGGAGCAGTAACTATGTGTTTTCAGTCATTAGTACAGCCCCAAATCATGGATATTACAGGCTAGATCCAGCACTTGGTAAAGTCAGTGGTACTGATCCCGGGGGGTGCAGGATAAGGTCTTATGAATTGAGATCAAATGTATTCTACGGGCCACTCATTTGGTTAAAGAAAGTCAGGAGAGGAGTCTCGTCTGGGCGATCGGGGACACTTACCTTTTTTACGCCTCCGAGGGTAAGGTCTCGGGAACGGATGGAGGGGAGGCGCCCAGGCGTAATTGGGGTGGCAGGTCTCCTCCCTATCAGCCCTCGTGCCCCAGGGAGTCCAGGCCGGAGGCTGCCTGGGTTGCCAGCATCGTTGCCTGAACTCCCCTCCGACATCCTTTCCAGTTACCTGGGCAGGAGAGAGATCAGTGGGAATGTGGCTGAAACGTCCAGCAGCCCAAAGAGCTGATCCCTAGAAACCCATTTCCTGAGCAGCTTTCATGATTCCTTCACTCTCCAGACACCGCGCAGTCAGGAGGAGGAACTGGTTGCAATTGAGAGAAAAGGGAATAAGGATAACTGCTAGGACAATGCATTAACAAGCACAAGAGACAAAGGGGACCCAAGATACCCAGGGGATGACTAATTGAAGGGCCCGGGTGGGGAGGGGCAGGGAAGGTGTATTGATCACAGGACAGCCTGAGCTCTGTAGGTGATCTGCCTTTTGCTGACTTGGGGACCAGCTCCCCCACAGGGGATCAGAAATAAGGGCCCACACACCCAGGCCTCACTGTATCAGGGCTCAGAGCCACCTCCCACCTGGAACCTTTGCTGTACTGGGACGGAGACCCCCCCACCCTGCCACAGAGGCTTGGACACCTTTCCTTCTCCCCACAGGCAGGGGCCCAGTGACCTTCCAGAGCCCATGCTAAAAGGGAACACGCCTTCCCCGCAGCAGAAGGAGCTGCCCCTGTCTTCAGACCCCCCACTATAGGAGTTCAACACCCACCAGCAAAGGGCTCAGACCCATCCCTTTCAAGGCTTACCCCATCTCTACGCACCGTCCCATAGGGAGCTCTGACCCCACCCATCGTCAGGCTCAACCCCCCCTCCCAGCCTCCAACCCCACTCCCATAGGAAGCTCGATCCCTCCTCCAGGTGAACACCCCCCCTGGGCTCAGTGCCCCCCAGTCCAGATCCCCCCAGGGCTCAGCCTCCCAGCTCAGGCTGTCCTTTTTCTGTAGGTGATCTGCCTTTTGCTGGCTTGGGGGTCCGCGCCCCCCCCCCC